GATAGATCTGCATATCCGGATATGTGACAGCCCAACTGTCTGTCCGGCGGGGGCGGTATTGCTTGCATGTTCTGTGAAGTACGTTACGCTTCATTTTGGTGGGGGGCAGGGGGGGGGGGGGATTTTATATGTGAAGGCAGAGGGAGGGGGGAGGCACAGACTCGGTGGTCTTAACTGTCCCGGGGCCCGGGGGGGCAGGTGCTGGACGGCAGGAAGGCCACAGGTGGTCGGCTGGAGGTGCGTGTGAAGATCCGAGAGCCACTGGGTGGACCGCAGCTCCAGACTGTCACTGAGAAGTGGCTGGTCCTGGATCCCATCGCCACACCGCCGGTGAGACACTAGGGGGGCGCTGCTGCCATGGGAGACGGAGCGATGGCCTTGGGATTTCAGGAGAACAAGACCCTCTTTTTAACTTCGGCACAAATGTTTGTGTCGGTCTGTAATTGGTCGCTTGGTGACTGAACTGTTTGTTCCTGGTTGTTCGTCAGGCAGCAGCACCGGCACCTAAATCCAAACCCAGACCTCAGAACGACCATGATAAAAATGCCAGGTGAGTCTGTCTGTCTTCCCCTGATTTGCTGGTAGGGGGCGCCATCAGCAGCCCAGCACTATTTAGTGAACAGTATGTTATCCTTTATCCAGCTTAATTGCTACGTTTCTTTTTCATGAAATTAAGGATTATTGTGCGAATTGGTAAATGGGGTTTTATTCAGTGTGGGATGTCTGGATGACTTACGCAGCACGGAGAGCCTCCCTCTGTCCAGGAGGTGACCTCCCTCTGTCCAGGAGGTGACCTCCCTCTGTCCAGGAGGAGGTGACCTCCCTCTGAGTGATTGTGTGGCTGGACTCTGTGACAGCGCAGCGTCTCACTAACTACCTCCGTTTCTGTCTCTCCTGCAGCCGCTCGCCCCCCCAGTACAAATTTCACAGCTTCAGTCTGCTGCAGTACGATAAGGACAGAGTCGAGCACAAGGTCAGTGTGAGTGTGTGTGTGTGTTCATTTATTCATCTTTGCTTGTTGTCTTATGCTTTCAGAAGCAAAACAGACGCCAGTGGCTGTGGTATCAGCATGACTGGTCTAACTGGTGGAGGAAATGAATTTAAACTGTTCATTATTGGACTCGCACATTTTGAGTCGGGCACTCTTAGGAAATGCCGATGTGGGTCGCCTGTGTTCCGGCAGATGAGCTTGTTCGTTTACTTGCGTTTAGCGTGTGACACAGCCGTACCCTGCCGTGCGTTTAGCGTGTGACACAGCCGTACCCTGCCGTGCGTTTAGCGTGTGACACAGCCGTACCCTGTCGTGCTTATGGAGCCAGTCACAGCCGCCTCCCCTCCCCTGAGCGTTTCTCAGACTGGGCTCCCTGACAGCCATAAATAAGTTATATAAAGCCGTCGCTGCTCGTTCGCGATCCACATGGGCTAAATGGAAATGCTAAGGAGTCTGGTTCATCCCTGCCACTCAATTCAGGTGAACGGCGGTATGAGAAGCAACCATTTAAGGGACCTGTGCGTGAATGATGGACATCACAGCGCCACCTGCTGTTTATCATACATCCACTTTTGCGGCTCTGGTCTGCGCTTGTGCCTGTTCTCACACCCCCTTTTTGACCCACACCATATTACACCCCCCCCCCAGATCATGGAGTGCAAAAAGAACAGGATGGAACTGCCAGCTGAGCTCCTGCAGCAGCACCGGGACATCAGCCAGAGGCTGCAGTTGCAGAAAGCACATTTGGAGAGGGCGCCCCCTGCTGTCTTTGCGGGTACACTACCACCAGCAACTGAGTTTTTTTCTTTTTTTTCATCTGAGGTCCACCATTAATCTATCTTTCTCTCTCAGAATATGACGCCGCCCTGTGTCGACTTGCCCAAGGCCTGAGTGAGGGGGTAAAGAAGTTCTCCAGTCAGGGAAAAAGGGTAGGTGGCACTGGTTGGGTCCACTTGCCTGGCCAGCCCGAAGACAAGGGCCATCAGCTTAGCCAGGCACTCAAATCTATTTGGAGGGTGTTAGGTGATTTATGGCCATTGGAGGTGTAATGCCAGCCCTCCCTCACGGGAGCGACGTGGGGCTACAAACTTACCGATTCTCTCTCTGCTCAGGACGCTGCTAAGGATGCACTTGGCCGCCTGAAGATGGTGGAGGCCGAGGTGCGCACCTGGTCGCCTCTGTGCCTCACTGCTCCGCCTCTGTGCCTCACTGCTCTGCCTCACTGCTCCGCCTCTGTGCCTCACTGCTCTGCCTCACTGCTCCGCCTCTGTGCCTCACTGCTCTGCCTCACTGCTCCATCTCTGTGCCTCACTGCTCCGTTTCTGTCCCTTACTTCTCCGCCTCACTGCTCTGCCTCACTGCTCCGCCTCTGTGCCTCACTGCTCCGCCTCTGTGCCTCACTGCTCTGCCTCACTGCTCCGCCTCTGTGCCTCACTGCTCTGCCTCACTGCTCCTTTCTGTCCCTTACTTCTCTGCCTAATTGCTCTGCCTCACTCCTCCGCCTCTGTGCTTCACTACTCCACCTCACAGCTCCGCCTCTACATCTCACCGCTCTGCCTATGTGCCTCATTGCTTCACCTCACTGCTCCACCTTTGTTTCTCACTGTTCTGCCTCACTGCTCCACCTCTCTTCTCTGCCTCACTGGGTGCCTCTGTGCCTCATTGCTCGGCCTCACCACTCTGCCTATGTGCCTCATTGCTTCGCCTTACTACTCCACCTTTGTTTCTCACTATTCTGCCTCTCCTGTGCACCTCACTGCTCTGCCTTGCTTCTGTGCATAAGTGCTGTATCCTTTCATTGCAGATAGAGGCCCTGAGAAAGAGATGTGCCACCTGACCTGACCCGACCTGAGGGGTCCGGAGTTCCTGAGGGGGAGGGTGTTTAGGCGGGACCTGGGAGCCCCAAATAGACACTACGCTGGAGACACTGACACATGGATCATCGGGGAATCCACCTTCACACACGTCCTGTCCTACACACACACACGGAGAAACACTGAACAGACACTTCCACATACTGACAGAGGCAGCAGCCATCGATATGCACTACACTGACTGGGATGTCATAAATCTGCAGTTACTGCTTTGGATGTTACATCCATACATTGTAGATCCTCTGCTCTAGACCGAGCTGAGATCGTTACTCACTGATAACCGCCCAGCACTGGTGGGGGTGACAGGGAACAGGGACTCACACAGTGTATTTTGCTTTATGGTTCTTAAAGGACTGGTAATATGAAGGCTTTGCACAGCAAAACGTAATGGTGAAGTTAGAAAAGAGGATGCCAGTGAAAATTTCTTCTTTGCAATTTGTACAATCATTGATTTTTCTTTAAAATGCTTCCTTTAAAAACTAGAGTGATGAAAGTAGAAGGAGGTGGTAGGGTTTTATCTTTAACGCACCTGGAGAGTGCCCCTGTCCTCGTGGGCCATGTCCGTGCAGCACCACGGGGCCGCAGCACCACGGGGCCGCAGCACCACGGGGCCGCAGCACCACGGGGCCGCAGCACCACGGGGCCGCAGCACCAGCACCTCTGGCTGTCTGCTTAAAGAAGGCGTGTGCCTCGCCCTGTTCCCCAATTTTTGTGTGGATATTATGTTTTTTTTTTTCTTGTTTCTGCTGTGGTTGTTCCAGTGCTGAGGGGGTAACGCAGAGGAATACTGTTGCTGACCCCCGGCTGTGGCTGCCTGGACTGAGATGGGGGGGGGCTTCCTTTGTGGGGCTCTCTAGGGGCTAGCAGCGGGGGGCAGGTGGATTTTTCTAACGGGCAGAAGGTAACCCCTGGAAACGCTAATCCACGCTCTGAGGTCCTCATTCATCCTCTGCGGTCTTCGCTGCCAAGGACTTGCCACATTCTTGACCCAGTCCCCATTTTTTCGAGCAGTACTGCATGATTACCCCCGCCCACCCACACACCCCCTAAAGCTTTGCCATGGCAACTGACTGATCACCATGTTGTGATCCGTTTGGGGGGTGTGCAGTGTATAATTCTAGGAAACCATGATGAAATATGCAGCAGGAATGCTAAATGAAATTATACCTTTTATGCACATTAAGTGGCATCAATCCACATGCTGATGACAGTCAAACAGAAAAACAGAAACACTAATATATACTGCTTTGTCTATGATTGTATCTTTAAAATGAATTTATTTCATGGCCCGGGGTGAAAGGGAAACAACTGATTTACTGAAAATCTGTATTCTAAATATGGAAGATGAATATATTAAAAATCTAACATCTGAACCCGCCTTGAGTTATTTCATTGATTTCAGCGCTGCTGGGTTTTGGCATGGGAAAGCGCCGTCCATCTCTCTAAAGACGTAGGGAACGAACCCGAGAGCGGAAGAGCGAGGATTACTAGCTTATTCGTTCCCCATGACGGACGGTCTCCCCACTTGTAGTGCAGATCCGCCTCTGTTACGCTAACGCTAACGTGACGTCACGCTGTGGAACAAAGGAAACGGCGCGCCACCGCGCATGCGCGTGACAGGGCGTGGGCGTGGCCGAGGGGGCGGAATTTCCCGGCCGACTGGGACACGTGGCTCCGTGTCTCCAAGTCAACGTGAGCTTTTGGGATCCTACATTCATTCCGAAGCCATTTGCTCCTACATACCACTACCCCGCCCCTAAATAAGGCTTGACAGCGACGGGGAGAGGACGGGGAGACACCGTGTGGCGCGGCTGCTGTGAAATCTGACGGACCATGACTCTGGAAGCGATCCGGTACCGGGCCGGGTCCCTGCAGATCCTAAACCAGCTGCTTCTTCCGCACGAGAGCGTGTACGATGAGATCCGTACGGTGCAGGACGGATACGATGCGATCAAGGCAATGAAGGCAAGTCTCCAGACTTCCATTTGTCCTCCACTTGTCCCGGTTGGCTGCGGCGGTGCATCGGCGCACACGAATTTCGCTTGATAACATTAGCCGTTACATCACCGTGTCAGCGTTCTCCATCCTTTGTGGCAGAGGGGAGAAGGGGGTCTGTCTTTGTGTGCGCCGTGTTGCATGTGCCCCTAGACGCGCCCAGCAGTGCATTAATTTCTATTTCCGTGTACGGGCACCTAGTAAAATGTGTGTCTGCTTTTCCCGCATGACTGTCTCCAGTGCGGTTAGCCATGCACGACGCTTGTGACCTGGGCACATATTCGAGTGTGAACAAAGTGCACGGCGCAGATTGTTGAAAGCGGCTCGGAGGCTCCCTCTCTCTGTGAGTCTCGCCGAGACGGGGGTCGCTGGCGGCCTTGGCAGTTTTTGAAGTCACTGAATAAAACGCAGATTCTTTTATTGCGCAAGAAACGGCTCCATTTTCCAGACAGATGTTTTTTACGGCCAGTTGTTGGAATCTCCTGTCCGCATCAAAAGCCGTTGGTTTTTATCTTGCTTTATTTTATAAACACCTAACGTTTTATAATGTGAAACGGAAAAAAGCGCGGGTTCGCTTGAGCCATTACCCATGCAACGTGCATATGAAATGAAGCGTGAATTCATGTTAGTAAGTGATAGTACGTGCGGAAGACGCGCACAAGACAATGCAAAAACTCATGTTGTAGTTGGACAGCTGTCAGTTTAGCTGTGACAGTGACCCCCTTTCCCTCCCCGGCTGTCATTAGTTAAGTTTCTCTTACTGAGTGCCTTCTTGATGTAATATAGGGTATCGCTGAAATCGTGGGGGCCTGTCGCAGGCTTATTCCGTGTCACCTCTTTACAGGGCTGGCTATTTCTGTACTGCAGTTTAGCCAGTGTCACATCCAGAGTTCTGGCAGTAGGGTCACTCCTGGACCGTCAGGTTGATGTCATTTTGTGGTGGGGGACCTGGAATTTTGACTGACTTCTGATTCATGTCCCCAGGAGGGTTAATCAGTTGTAGCCTTGAGCGACGGGCCTGCCCTTGATTGTCATTAATATGAGCAGCTACATAAATAGGTACAGAAAGTGTGACGGTTCCACTGCAGGCGTTATGTGTGTGGTCCTGCGTGCTGCGAGGTGGCTCCTTTACTGACAGGAATGTCACCAGCTGTCATCCCCATTGTTGGAGGTGCCAGGTCATCACCCTGTCCTCCCTTGACCCCGTAGGTGCGGGGGGCTCCAGCGATAGCCATCGTGGGCTGTCTGAGCCTGGCCGTGGAGCTCCGGGCCGGCGCGGGTGGGGATGACCCCGTTTCCTTCATCCGGGAGTCGCTCAGCTACCTGACGTCGGCGAGGCCCACCGCCGTCAACATGGGCCGGGCGGCCCGCGAGCTCATGGAGTTCGCCGTGAACGAGAGCATGGAAAAGCCACCAGACCAGCTGCGGGAGAGGTACCCGGGCCCGCGTTCGGGCCAGCCCCGGGACACTGCAAACATCGGCCGTAACACATCGTCGCCTCAGGAAATCTGAAGATACTTACGATTTAAATTATCGTTACCGAATTACTCCATCTCTCAGCGCACACTGTCATGAGAAAGACCGTATCTACTTCATTGTCTGCACCTTGTAGCTCATTCTTAATGGTTTTACTTAGGTTAAGGACTTTCCTGCCCACCATGTCGGGAATGAAGTACCTTGTTCAATAGTGCACAAGCTGTGCCCTGTCCCACAGGCTTAGGTACAGCACAGTGCTCCCTGAATACCAAATGCACTGTCCTTTATACCCGGGACTCACCTCCGCCTGCTCCCACATCTCCCTCTGCCGTTACACCACACTTCGGCTGGCTTGTGGCTGCCGGTTGGCTCAGCACTTTCTCATGGCGCGCTTTTCAGAGTCATACGGCATCAGCTGATCACGCCACCGCCCGGCCACGTCCCGCCAACCGCCTGGCACCGCCTCAGATTCTGCTCTAATGAGCCGGGCGTGTAGAGCCCAGGAGGGCCTGAATAATGAACTGACTCATAAATAAATCATTTGTTGGCGTATTTGTGATTTCGGCACAGCTCTCCCTGTGACAGGGTTCCCATATCGTTCAGTGAGACTCACCGTGCTTTTATACAAAATCTACGGAGTTCACATCAGTCAGCTCATCTTCATAGTCTGTTTAAATGTAGAT